AGTCACGTCCAACGCACATTCTAGCACGGTCGTGTTGACACCGCTGGCGTCCACAGCCCGACGGCTACACCAGGGACACCGCGGCCGCCCAAAAGGTCACCCGGCGGATTGGTATGCAGCTGATTGCGGAGAAGAAGGCGGCCGTGAGACAAGCGGCTCAGTCGGGCGAGAAGAACGCAGGGTCAGAGCTGAGGAGCCGTGACTTGCTCACGCTACTCATCAAAGCAAACATGAGCCCCGATATCCCAGAAGACCAGAGGCTCTCGGATGATGATGTCTTGGCCCGTATGTCACATCATCATGCTGTCGTAGTCGCACGCTGAACATGTCTGCAGAGGTTCCAACGTGCGTCGAATCTACAAGCGTCGGGTCGAGCTTTTAACGAGGATGATACAGGTTCCTTGTCGCTGGGCACGAGACGACCAGCAATGCGACAACGTGGTGTTTGTATGCACTCTCCCAGCAGCCCAACGTCCAGCACAAGCTGCGGGAGGAGCTCTGGGGTGTCCCGACGGATAGCCCTTCGATGGAGGAGCTCAATGCGCTGCCGTACCTCGACGCGGTGATTCGGGAGACGATGCGCCTGTTTCCCCCAATCGCGGGGACCGTGCGCATTGCCACCAAGGATGACGAGATTCCTCTGGCTACGCCGTACATGGACGCGAAGGGGCGTATGCACGACAGTATCCGGTACGCACACTTGCAGTTGCGTTGCAATGTAGCGTGTCTCATGCAAGGAGCCGCTCGTCGCGTGTAGAATTGATAAGGGAACCGCGTTCCCTATCCCAATTCTGGGCATGAACAGGTCGAAGGCACTCTGGGGAGAGGACGCGCGGGAGTTCAGGTTCGCTGAGGATGCTTTCGATGCTTGAGGTTTGCTGACGCACTCGCAGGCCGGAACGGTGGGAGTCTGTCCCGGAGTCCGTGCAGCAAATCCCCGGCGTGTGGAGCAACCTGATGACCTTCATAGGCGGTCCGCGCGCGTGCATCGGGTACCGCTTCTCGCTCATAGAGTACGTGGTTCGACATTTTAGCTTGAAGCTACGGCTTGCTCAGTCACAGGGTTTGGGATGCAGGATGAAGGCATTGGTATTCACGCTAGTGCGCGCGTTCGAGTTCGAGTTGGCGGTCCCGGTTGAGGATATCACGAAGAAGATCGGATTCGTCCAGCGGCCCTTTGTACGCAGCGAAATGGAGAAGGGAACACAGATGCCGTTGGTAATCAAACTGCACACGCGAGAGTAGGATGCCTCACAGGAATCATTGTGTTAGGTTTCGTACGTCCTGGTTTCGACGCTTGTGAAGCTTTGTTCTGAAAATCCCTCGTAGACGTTGGTTGGCGTCAGGATAAATATGCTGAACGCTTGGCAGGCTTTGAATCTCCTCATTCACGGTTCTTTCAGAATAAGAGCATTATTCCTATGTGACGGCCTCCAATGCTGATCACACGTCTTCCGATCACAAACTGGATGTTGTTTATATGATTTGGCACAGTTTCGAGAAGATCTGTTCAGGGAGCGCGAGGTATATGAATAAAGAGGCCTGTTCGTATGAATATCAGTCTTAGTCTTTGATGATAGACAGTACAGTGGAAGGATGATAATCAACAACGGCATGGGTAAGGGTCCACGAATGGATGAACAGCACCGGGCGCGCAATAATGTAGTGTTTTGGAACGCCTCAAGATTCCGTCACAGCTAAAAGCTTGAGTCGTATGCTTTCGGCATCACACCACGTTCCTCGTCGATGTAGAAGGGCTCTTTATTCTCGAAAATATTCCCTAAGTATCTCGCTGCTCTTGTTACAATGTACGAAGTTACGTATGCGCTGCTTGAGCAGTGCTAGTAAGGAGCAAGGCCAGGGCTTAGTGATAATCAGGTTATATACAACTAAAAACATTTAGGCAGATACAGTCCAAGCCTCTGGTGAATGAGATAATTTGGTTGGTGCACAGCTCAAGGATGAGGTATACATACTGATATAGTGCTTTGAGGAGGCGGTGAGTAC